ATCATGTGTTACCGATCAGAGGTGGCGTGTTGTGGCTAAGCCAGCTAAACGGCTTGCCTTGCTTTAAGGAACCCCTATAAATAGTAAAATAGACGAATTTCATTGACTCAGTATGGTCTGATCTTTCAGTAATACAGATCGTCAGGAGTCAGATTTTCCGGTCGAAATCAGTTAAATTGCCAAGTTGTTTGCCAAACATTCTATCACTATCGATTTGAACTAAAAACTATGACAAACAAAACTCCTAATTTCGATGCACCACCACCATACTCTGCAGCAACCGAACAAGAGCAATCAAGCCTGGTTCCGCGTGTTTTAGAGACATCGCCACTTTATCCCAATGTTCCAAAGAACTCATACAATAGTATTCCAAATTTATACTATAATCCTACTCCTCCACCAATAGCAGAATCATCTTCCTCTTCCGCCGCAGCCGCCGCTGGTTATGCCCCACTTCCAGATACCGTTATTTTACCAGCACCAGTCTCTTTACAGTCACTTCGCGACGAACCAGCTGTGACTATATGTCCACGCTGCAAGAATAGAGTGTTAAGTATTGTTAGCTACGATTCTGGGTCGGCTACTTGGTTAGCGTCTTGCATGTTGTTTGTCTTGGGTATTACTATGTGGGGTTGCTGTTTAGTTCCTTTTTGTAAGTTGTCTCTCTTTTTTACTTTTCTCTCTTATTATTACACGACATTTTTATACTAATAATATCTTCTGTTTTAGGCGTGAATGATTTGAAAGATTGTAATCATGCTTGCCCTTCTTGTGGCAGAACCATGGCAAGATATTCGCGATTGCATGGAACCGTTGAAGTGTATGTTCCTAGAAGCCGAAACTAGAAAGCAGACTCCACCTTTTTGTATATTTAATTTCTCGTATTATTTATTAACATTAACGTTAACGTTAAATTATATTTAAAATCTCTCTGAAATCATGCCGGAATGTGGCTAAATTTCCGAAACTGTAATCATAAACCAAAATAAAAAATGTGACTGCGCGTTTAAATTTGTCTAAAGAAATATTCAACATGGCATTAAGAGTACCAAAGAGTAGCTACCCACAACTTTTTAAAGAGGGCTATAAGATTCAACAAGGAGTCGACGAGGCCGTTCTGCGGAACATACAAGCGACACATGAGCTATCTGAAATTGTTCGAACGTCTTATGGTCCCAACGGTCGTAACAAGATGGTAATTAACCACCTTGAGAAGCTGTTTGTTACCAATGATGCTGCTACAATTATTCGTGAGCTGGAAGTTGTACATCCGGCTGCTAAACTTTTGGTTATGGCAAGCCAACAACAAGAACAGGAGGTGAGTGTTATATACTATTGATATTTCATTTTTGGATCAAATTTTCATGGATCTTGTTAAAATGATGCACCGATCCATCAAAGGTTGGCGATGCGACAAACTTTGTTATCGTGTTTGCCGGAGAACTTCTTCAAAAGGCTGAAAATCTATTAAGAATGGGACTCCATCCAAGTGAAATTGTGCAAGGTTATGAATTAGCCAGGGACAAGGCACTTGAAATCTTAGAAGGTAAAAAGTCTCACATCAAATAAATAGTTCAAATTTTTATTCATTACTGAGAAATTAATTTATGTATACAAGAACTTTCGGTGGAGACGGTCAAAGATCCAAGATCACCCGCTGAACTATCGAAAGCCATAAATACAGCTATCGCGGCAAAACAATATGGCTACGAAGACATCTTGACTGATTTAGTGATTGAAGCTGCACTATCAATAATGCCCAAGAATGCCAGTGTATTTAACGTGGACAATATTCGAGTAGTTAAAATTATGGGTAGTAGCATTCATGAGAGTAAAGTGGTCAAGGGTATGGTATTTGGTCGTGAACCGGAAGGTGTTGTGCGTAAAGCTCAAAAAGCCAAGATTGCTATTTATACGTGTCCATTGGACGCGGCTCAAACTGAAACTAAAGGCACTGTTCTGATTCATAATGCTCAAGAAATGTTAAATTTCACAAAAGGTGAAGAGAAGCATATAGAAAAGGTGAGTGGTCATTTCTTTATCGGAGCATCATAAATAACTTAAGCTAAATTGTAATTCGATATGAATATTTATTTATTAGATATATAAAGAAATTGCAGATGCTGGAGTAAAAGTTGTAGTTTCTGGTTCTGCAATCGGCGAACTTTCTCAGCATTATCTTAATCGATTTGGTATAATGGCGGTTAAAGTCCTCTCTAAATTTGATTTGCGTCGATTGTGTCGTGTTACTGGGGCTTCGGCTCTAGCACGATTAGGTGCTCCAACCCCTGAAGAAATGGGACATTGTGATATTGTGGAAACAGTTGAGATTGGTGGTGATCGAGTCACAGTTTTCCGACAAGGTATGATTCTTTTCTGTAATATTTAAATTTTTTTCTTAATTTAATTACATATGATATTTTGATTAGAGGACGAATCGTCTAAAACTGCCACAATTGTGGTGCGAGGAGCAACGCAAAACCATTTGGATGATATTGAACGTGCTATCGATGACGGTGTCAATACTGTTAAAGCTGTTTTGCGAGATAATCGGTTGGTTCCAGGTGCTGGTGCTGCAGAAATGGAGTTAGTAAAACGATTATTATCTTTTGGCGAGGTGGGTTGTTAGTAACTTAAACACGGGATAACTCACAAATCTTTCTCTAAACTGTCTCATATTCAATTCTTTAGAAAACTCCAGGACTTAATCAGCACTCTATAAAAAAATTCGCCGAATCATTAGAAGTAATTCCACGTACACTTGCCGAAGGAGCTGGATTAGATGCTACCGAGATTCTCTCAAAACTTTACGCGGCTCATCATCAAAGCGACCAAAACAATGTTGGTGTTGATGTGGAGAATGAAAAAGATGGAACAATTGATGCTGCTAACGCCGGTATTTTTGATCTGCTTGTTGCCAAATCTTGGGCGCTTAGATATGCTACAGAGGCTGCTTTAACAGTATTGCGAGTTGATCAGGTTTGCTATTTCTTTTGGATTTGCATTTTACTCAATTTAAGTAATTAATGCCTCAGCTGATAAAAATAATTGATCGATGTTTAAAAGATTATCATGAGCAAACCAGCTGGAGGTCCAAAACCGCCAAAAGGAAACCCCGATTGGGACGAAGATTAGTATTTCAAATGAAGCATAAAAAAGAAACCCAGAAAGGTAGAAATGCCGTTCGGCTATCTTATTCTCGATTTGATTTACTGAATTAAATACAAAAATCTCTATCTTTTAGAGAATGACGAGAGAATGAAATATAAAGATATGATAGTAAGAATAATGTAGAAGGATAAAATTACAAATATCTTTTCTATTTCTTAATTTAAACAATAATAAAATTTTGATCCGCGCTGACCACTTGCTCATAATTAGATGTTACCGACAATTTTGATATTCCCTAAGAATGAGTTTCCTCGAACATAAATTGATTTTCCTCCAACACGTTATTTAAATCGACTCCCATTGGATCTAATGCTTGTTCTGATTCATATAGGCAATTGTATTCTGGCCTAAACGCAACATCGGGTTGCGGATAATAATTATAGTTGTAGGTTTGCTCATGTAAATGCCATTTACCACGTCGACGATTATAGTCCATCTTACTGAATGAATGGAGAGTTCGTGGATTTGAAAGTTCACCCTCTCCCACCAAAATCTCCGCTTGTATAGTGTAAGAACGCATCTCGTTTACTGTACACCGCATCCATCCTTGAATTTTTTGCCCTGCATTCACAGCCAATGGCTCTTTCAACAAGAACCGAACTTGTTGCCAGTGTGTTCGTTCGGAAGCTGGACTGGTGGACATGTTAATCGCAGTTCCATCCTGAATATTGGGCGGCGGTGCGAAATGCAGGTCAAACCATCCAGCTAATCCATGTATAATACCAGTATAATTTGCTAGCCAATTAAATGGCATTGTAAAGTCCTGCAGTTCTTCCATCGTTATATGGTAAAAATCAACGACAAATCCACCAACGCTTGAAGGAGCAAGTAAAGTCCGAGGATCAAATCCACCAACTACCGGCATGCCTTGATGACGTTAATTCGGATAATAATGGAAATTAAAATAACTCGTAAAATATTTTATAAATTCAAAAACTCTTCAATAACCACCAACCAAACATTTCATCCCAGGCATCGTTATATAATGTTGATAAATCGATCCCATAAAATGAATTTTGCTCCCAAAAACGCACTTTTCCCATCGTCTCACTCCACAAAGCAGCATCAGTGAATGGTGCAAGATGAATTGAACCGGTTGAAGGGAAAAGTGTTCCACCCGGCTTGAGATAAGTATTTCTTGCATAAAGAAAACTTTCCAACTTTATTATAAAAAAAATCGGTTATTATGTAAAAATATCTTGGTGTAGGGAATCAATAGATCATACCATTCTTTCATGAATTAATAAAACACCAATTGGCTCAGAAATGATCGTATCAACCTTTGGGATTGGAAGATTGGGCTCTTCAATCTTCGCTAGTATATGATACACACACACATATTGTGTGCGATTTATTAAGTTAAGGGTCAGCAACCAAATAGCAAATCCATAATCATTTACCTTGAATTACTTCTATTTTGTTCTTTAGAAAAGTGTTTTTTGGTAAGATATGAGGGTTGGCAGGATTAGATGCGTCGATTAATTTTTTCATTTTCTGGGCCATTAGAGATGCCTCAACCGCATAAACTTTCCGTGCGCCAGCTTGAGCAGCAAAATAGGACAAGATTCCTGAACCTAGAATTGTTCGCATACACACACCCATTATTATTTATTGATCACGAACGCTATTCTGCGATAAGTAAAAAAAATCCTCGAACAAAATAAAAATTTACCAGCTCCCACGTCCAAAACAAGTTTATTGGCAAAACACATCGGACCATTTAACAGAATTGCCGAGCGAAAAGTAGAAGTGCGTACGGTGTCTTGTAACATATTTTGCTGCGTTTTCGTTATTTATTTTTTTAGGTTGTGTGTGTATGTTTTCGGTCATTGCAGACGGACGAACTAAAGTTAGACTGGCTAGGCTTTTTAAGCCTCGCGTTTTTTTTATTACACTTCAGAGAGGACACAACGACAACGACAACCACCTGATGCTGAAGCATCGCATAATATGAAAAGTAGGCAGGATCACGCCCTTCGGTTGAAGGCACTTTACCATTTTGCTGTTGTTGTTTTATATCATAAGCGTTGTTGTTGTCGTCCTGGGGTTCGGTGTCTAACATCTCGACGAAGACGACGGCTTGGGGACAAAGAGAAAGAAGAAACACGTGTCTCGAAGGGTGGACAAGATGTAGATCATTATCATTTTCGAAAAATTAGTAAATGCTATCTGATAATATAGAATGTCTTCTTCACAAATACCACAAACATTAACAGAAATAAATCGTGAGCACTTTAATATTCAGGCCGCGACTTATGATAGCGGAATACGAGTCACTATAGCAGAAAAATGTGTTAAAGCGATATTAGAAGAATTTGGCCATAGTTCCTCTACTGATAACGATGATGATGATAAACAAGAGACAGCAGCATCAGAAGAACAGGAACATAGCGATGGAGTTGGTTTTCTTGATGAAGATAAAACCCAAGTTCTCGATTTCGCGTGTGGCACAGGTGAAATAAAGACATCCATCCAATCAATTCACTTATTCCCTTTCCTAATCACATAACTTAAATTTGTTAATATTGTAAGGATTGATTTCGCAATTTCTTTTGCCATATGTACACTCGATTCTTGGTGTCGATACATCACAAGGAATGGTTAATGTCTATAATCAAAAAAGTTGGCGACAAGGACTGATTAAAGATGAAATGCAAGCAATTTGCGTTGATTTGTTGAATGAGGAAGGCGAAGATCCATTAAATGGACGAAGATTTGATTTGATTGTGGTATGCATGAGGATGTTATTGACATTTTCTTTTCTATATAATAAATATTAAGTTTACAAAAACATCAAAAGTGCTCTTCTTCATATCACCATCTGGAAGACATAAAATCCGCAACTAAAACACTCGCCACATATCTAAAGCCTGGAACCGGTCACTTGGTTGTTTTGGATCTACAATTGAACCCTGAATACTCTTACAAATTCCATGATCATCAGACTCACGATCATAATCAGACTCATGATCATCATCATCATCATCAGACTCATGATCATCATCATCAGACTGTAAAATATCTTGGGGGGTTTAGTCATGATCAAATACGTGAAGCATTTGAAAGTAGTGGTGGACTGTTGGAAAATGTTACTGTGAGAACTGCGTTTTCGTTTAAAAAGTTAATAAAAAGCGAAGGTGTCGAACGTGAGTTTGAGTATTTGTTGGCTAAAGGAAGAAGGTCGGAATTGGTGGAATAGGCGTCGGGAATATGAGAGATTATGTAAAATAATATTGTATTCATAACTGTTTAACTGACCATGTAAAATTAAATATCGATCAATAGAAATTATTATACCTGCACATAAATATGCACAATTTACTAAAAAAAAAGAATCGAATCTTGAATTTTGAATTTAGCGTTAGTTTTCTATTATGAATTTATGAATTTGGTGATAGCATGTTATAAAATAAAAGATCACAATGCTGAATAACATGAAACAAAAATATCAAGTTCATAAAACACTTTTCATTTATGAAAATATTTTTTGACAAATTTTTAAAGAGCATTTTCAATCACTTTTCCGATTAATAAATACAGTTTTCACTTTACATAACTTGAATGTTTTTTAATATCAAGTGTTGGAATTCAACATTTTTTGTTAAATATAATTTAATTTTAACTTTAATTAATTTTTTAACTTGTAATTTGATTGGTTAATCAATAAAAATTATATAATCTGATCACTTTAACAATTTTATTTTGAATTATATAATAAAAGAAGAAGTTTTTACTAAATATAAATTGAAAAAATATATTTTGAATATTAAATTTTATAAAAATTCTATTATTTTTTTACTTTTGAAAACTTAAAACTCGAAAACATTTAAATTTGAGATTAAAATTATATTTTATTTAAAAAATAAAAATCAAAAAAATAAAAAAACTTTTAACAATAGCAAACACAGTTTTTTCAAAAAATAAATATTTTTTTATAATATAAAAGTATATTTAATAATTATATAATGATTTTGTTTCAATTTTCTAAAAAAAAAGTTATATTATATTTATATATAATAATTAATATAATTATAATAAAAATTAAAATAAAAATTATGTTATATTTTAATATATACAGTAACTAACAGAATCATAAAATATAGTAAAATTAAAATTTTTGTCTTATATAAAAGTTTTTAATTTTATTAATAAATATTTTTTTATTTTTATATCAAAATAAAAATTATAAGTTATAGTTTAATATACAGTTATCTCTCTATATAAGAATACACTATATAAGAATATCTCTCTATAATAACACAATTTTGAAAACCAAATACTTAATATTGATAATAAAAATGATCTTTTTATAAGAATAAACTCTCTATAAGAACCAATTTTTATGGTTTAATCATGTTTTTATAAAGAGGGATGACTGTATATTTATTTTGAATTTTCTAGATTTTTTTCTGACAAAGTTGTTTTAATTACAAAGTTATTGTAAAAATTTTTTATAATTAATTTTACATTTTAATTATAAAAAATTTTTGCAATTAGAATAACTTTGTCAGAAAAAAATCTAGAAAATTTAAAAGAAATATATATTAAACTATAACTTATAATCTTTATTTTGATATAAAAATAAAAAATATTTATTAATAAAATTAAAAACTTTATATAAAACAAAAAATTTTAATTTTTACTATATTTTATTAATAAATCACATGCATTATTTTATAATTCTGTTAGTATCTATATGTTTTTTAGATTTAATTTAACAAAGTTATTTTAATTATAAAGTTATCACAAAAATTATATTTTATTAATAAAATTATATATGTAAATTTAATTATTATAATTTAATTAATATAATTTTTTAACTTTTATTAAAAAATCATGTTTGTAATTTTGTTATTTTATTTATAATTTTTTATTATTATTGTAAAATTATATTTATTGTTATTTAATAAATTATAATTTTTTATTATTATTACAAGTTATATTTGTTATATAACTTTTTATTATTATTACAAAGTTATATTAAATTGATTTAATAAAAAAATTATTAATATTTTATTTATTTATAAACTATTTATAAAGTTATAATTATATTTATCTTTGTAAAAAAGATTTAAAAAAATAAATATATGTATATTATTTATATTTAGAATAAATATTATCTCTCATACTTATAGTCTCAATTATTTATATTATTTCTTTCATCTGATTTGAAATTGTATATAACATTGTTAAGTATTTCTAATCTGCATGCAAACTTGAAATGAAATCTTGAAAGTTGAAAATTATTTTTTGAACGTTTTTGATTGGTTGCTGCAATTAATGATCGATCTAATCTAAAAAAAATCCCGTGTTTCTGATCCACGACATGATAGATTCTGTAATATGATCAACCAATCATCTTTAATCTGCAATAAAAACCTTCAACCAATGAAATTCATAGAGATCATTCAACACAAACAGGACTAGCCCTGTATAAATAAATCAAAATCACGTGTTATTTCAATTGGTCTACGTTCAATATATTTAAAGTGCCGAAATGAATTTACTTATCAAGTGAATAAAAACTTTATATTTTCATAATACAATAACATTGGATTTTCACCACTTCGTGTTCGCGTTTTTTCAAGGTCAGCATATTTCTTTAAGAAATCTTTTTGAGTAGATACCTGTATTTCTTGTGACTGAATATTACCATCACTTTTTCCGCCAGCACGTAGTACTTGATAAATGTTCTTTAATAATTCAAAATTTGTGGGAAAGAAAATATCAAAATACCCAGGCTGCACCATATACGTTGAACAAGGAACCATGGTACGCTCAAACCGTGTCTGAACCACAGGCGCATCAACTCCAGGTATAGTTTCAGGCAACTTGAAAAAATCTGAGATCAGTAATCGATGTCGCGGAAAATACTCATTAATAATTTCTAGGAATAAAAGAGCTTTGGTGGGTAGAAATTCAGGCTTCGTTAACGAGGGTGCAAATGGCATTCGATGACGTAGTTTTCTAAGGGCACGCCATTTGTGTAAGACTGGCGTTTTGTAGGATGTTTTGTCACGGGTAGACAAGTAACGAAGAATAAGAGGGTCTGTTACTGGCTCATAGACGTCTTCGTATTCTCCTTTTTCATCAGTGATCACTATTCCTTGAAGTGGTTCTTCGGTCTCGGTATCGTAACAAATTGCATCGTGTGCAAAATTATCCTATATCATTACAGTTTTCATTGATCTTAAGAAAAGGAATATTCGGAATTTGCATCAATTGAAAAATACTCACCAAAACTTCAAATGCTATAAAGAAACAGGGATTCGGTTCAATTTCGTTCCATTCAAAAATACTCTTATTGATAATTTCTATGCAATCATGATGAACTTGCTTTGCTTTTTGAAATTGACTATTTTCTTGTATTATTTGCTGTTGCTGTTGTTTTTGCTGTAATGCAAATTTTGCACTAATTTCAATCACCCTATATCGCGTCTGCTGATATATTGAATGCTCGTATTGTTTTATATAATCAAGAATATTTAACATTAATGTCCCATTACCGGCTCCCATTTCGTATATTATCAGTTCGTGATGTGGGTTTTGTTCGGTTGCTTTGTATTTTTCGACAATATGTTTGGCTACCGCATACCCATACCATGGCTATTAATCAATCAATTGACGTCGTAATTGAATGTAATGATGATGCAGAGAGATAATACACGCATTCTTATATATATCCAACCGACAAACCGGCCAGAGAACAAGACTCACCTTGAACAATTCCGTAGACGTATGCCAAACCTGTCTAGCAACTTTGTCAGTCTCGTTCATTTCGTTTTCAATTACTGCATAAGTTTTACTCAACATTCTCATAAACTGTAAATTATCTTTAATATTAATAAAGTTAAAGTTCTCCGGCGAGAATATCACCGCCTGTTTAGAAAAATATCCATAGTACGGGTTATACAACGAGTTATCTATAAAGTCTCGAACGAGCATTAAGGAGCATTTTGGAATAGTGTCTGTCTTTGCCGCGTCGAGTGCAGTTATTAGCTGATATTTGGACGCGTAGTCTAGGTTTCTTGGTTGTTCGAAAAGTTCTCGTAAGTCAAAAGAAATTAAGCGCGAAGGAACTGTAGTGTATTTGCGAATGGAAGGTTTTCTCTTGTTAATAGGTCTGAACATTAAAACATGAGAAGAGAAGTTGAAAGAACGAGAAACTTTGTTAGAGCACTGTCGGAGCATATTTATAACACGCATGTTTTCGAAAATTTTCATTGATTCATTTTTTAAATTTAGCCCAATAAAGTTACGCATCGGCTAATCTTTGATCGACACGTTCAAGTAGTGATTGGTGGTTGATACGATAAAATTATAAGAAAATGTCACTTAAAGTTAGTCTATCATTTAAGTATGCGAATATTCATTTTTTAAAGGAAATTGATTTTCTTTGTCTGTATTTAATGAATTAATTAATCATGATCAATTTTAAAAAGTGGAGGCATGGAACTTTTATTCAATAATGTAAAACAGAAAACTGTCGAAATACCAGCTTCCATAAATAACTCTAATCCGACTACAATGAAAGATTTGGTAAAGTTGTGTATTTATGTTTATGTGTAATATGGCGAACTTATAAAATCCAACGGTGTGCTAATACCAATTTTTTGGATCAAAAGATCCGATGGATACGCGACAACTTGTTAAAAGAACGTCCAGAATTGTTTGTTAGCGGCGAGACAGTGTGCGGTTATATAACTTAAGTTTCAATTTCATTTATTAGATGAAAGAAAATCGCTGATAATGTTCTTTGTTATAGACGCCCGGGAATTCTAGTTCTGATAAATGACGCAGATTGGGAACTGGAAGGCGAGTTAAAGTACGAAATCAAAGATGCTGATGATATAGTATTTATTTCGACACTGCATGGAGGATAGATAAATTAATATTAACATTATATATTAAATAGTATGATTTATTAAATAAGCTAAAATATCACTCAGTCCTTCGTTATTGCATCCCACGCCAACTCTTTGGATATTCCATTTAACTTTGCCATTCTATATACTGATTTAACAGCGTCAGATTGAATTTCATAATTTTCTGCACCGATGATGATGACGACGATGCATCAGTAGTAGTGGGAAAGGCTGTTGTGATCGTCAACTTGTCAATCTCCTGTATTCCACCAAGTGCAGGTTCGTCATTTGGCGGTGGAATGGAGCGGCTCCTAGGCTATGATTCTGATTTAACATAACGTGATTTTTCCTTAATTGAATAGCCTGGTGTGAGGTAATTTTTAAACCCATAGGTAAATCAAGCAAATCCGAATTATTACATAATTTTTTCTGGATGGTTATAGCTATTATGCGAGAATACCGAATCAATCAATCTCTTGCCATCATAATATCTCGAACATGCGGCATGTATTATATACCTCAATTTCTTAAGTATTAATCAATATGCAATAATACACAAAACCCAGATTCAGGTAAAAACCCAGGATTCACGAAATTCAATAAGAAAAAAATATTCTGAAAGCTCGTTCTTGAAGAAAATAATTATACGTACCCAACAAGATCACTCTTCGTTGTATTTTTAAATATTATAGGATCTCGTGATCTAAATTAATTTGATAATGATCTCGTGATCTCAAATTGATAGAGGTGCCTCCTCACCACCCCCCCCCCCCCAAATGCTTAATTTTGTACTACTTAATATTAGCTAATAAATGTCACTGTTGAGATTAACAATCTCTTTCTTACAATGGACATCCCATTGATCCTTAGATAGATGCCACTATCATCAATAGTTTTTGCCTATTTGAATGTCATCCTTAGCAGTAACCCCCTTAGAATTTTGTCCTGTTCGTTAACTTCCTTTATTTTTAAATCGGCTCTCTTAAGTATGACTCTTATTGCGGATAATTGATGGAATATAGTCCTTAACAAATCGCTTACCGAGATTTTATCCTTTACCACTTTTTTGATTCGACTGATTGACATTTATGTCTGAAATCAAATGAGATTCATTTAATCTTTTGAGTGACAATCTGCAAGGTACACAAATAATTTTTTGTAAGAGATGCTTTGGCGGGTTTTCACGTGAATTTTTTTAATTTTAGCGATGGATCGTTCACATGTATGTAGTTTCAGATTTCTCGCATTCTAAAACTCGAAAAAAAAACTATTACCAGCCAATAAAATCTAAAACACGTAGGTAATGCCTGTGATCTCTACACTTATTTATTGAAAGATACCATTTAAGGTAACGAAAATGATTGTTGTGTTATTGCTATTGTGTTAACTATTATCGATCGAATTTTATTGAGGGCTCATAAAAAAAAACCAAAATCAAAAAAGTGAAACTATATACAATAATAGTCTTTAAAAAGGGAAAATTCAATCTTTATCCAACTGTTTTAAAAAAATAATAAAAAAATAAAGATATATATCCTTTTAAAATGGTTAACTAGGATCGAGTCGTCTTCTCTTTTCAGGTCTTTGAATATCCAATAGTCTAGCATCTTTTTCCACAATCAAACTACGAAGCCATTTCACTTCCAATTCCAATTCTTTCACTCTACCTTCAAGCATCTCAGCCTTTGCAGTCATTTCTTTGGCGGTATGTTCAAGAGCTTGTTCTCGCATTTTCTTTTTAATTCGGAATCTAGCCGACGCAGCAGTATTACGCCTGCGTTTATCTTCTTCGGCGGCGATTTTCGCTGCAGATTCTGGATCATTTGTTTTATTATTTTCTTCGGTATTATCATCTTTTTTATCCACACTTGATGCGGCAGATGTGGTGTTTGTGGCAGAAGCGGTAATTTTAGTATCTACTTTTTCTTCATCCTTATTGTCGTCATCTGACTTTATGGAAGATTTTGCAGATTTCGACGATTTCGATGATGATTTCGATGAAGCGTCATTGTTGTTGCTATTGGAACGAGGAGAATCGGAAGCAGCAACTACGACTTTTTTATCGTGACGTTGTGATGATGATTTCGTAATGCCGGAATTTTTACGATTCGTTGATGTACTGGTAGTAATCGGTGGAGCAGGTGCAATTTTTTGTTCAGTAGTAATGGGCGATGGTTGTTTAGGCAAGATCATCTGATTACCAGTTCTAGTGGGAGTCTTATTCTTGGTGTTAATGCCGCTATTACTATTATTATTGTTGTTGTTGTTATTATTATTATTATTATTATTATTATTATTATTATTATTATTATTATTATTAGTATTAGTATTATTATTAGTAGTAGTAGTAGTAGTAGTATTATTGTTAGTATTATTATTGTCATTGTTGTTATTATTGTTATTAGTCAATAAAGTAACCGATGATGGTGGTATAGGAGCAGGATAAAAGGGATAATCCTCGTGTGAGAGCATATCAGCAGACGAATTATTATTGTTATTAATAGTAGTGGTATTATTATTGGGTGATGGTGTCATCGCTACTAATGATTGCAAATGAGCAGTAACAACGGGATTGGTAGTTGTAAATGTGAAATATTGGGGCACACTAGGAGAAAACACTTGTGGTAGATGAGGCAAAAGTTCAAACTCTTGGAAACCAGCAGTAGCGGTACCCGGCACTCCAGCACTCGCATTAACTCCCACCACGTTATTATTAACCACGTCATTTTTAAGCTTAGCGACTTCCGGGGAAACATCAAAATCGTCGTCCAGTAAGCCCATACCAGGCGGCACGTCAAATGTGAATTGTTTGTTTCCCCATAATTCCAGTTCTGCCGCCAACTCTTCTTGTGTCAACTCTACTGGAGATGGGTCCAGAGACACCAAGTTTAGGTGTGAGATATTGTATGGAGCGAAGACACTATAGTTATTATTATGTAAAGACATGTTTTTTTTTTTTCGTTAGTTCAGTTTTAATAATTAACGAGGACAAGAACGAGGCCTCTTCCAAAGTATAAAAAAAAGTGAATTATTTATTATTTTTCAAATTAAAAAATTGTGTTAACGATGTTAATGGCGGACAAAAAAATGATTGCTCTGTAATGGTGACCATTATCTTGGTTCCTTTTTTTTGTGTTTCGTCATCATCTGATTAGTAAGCATGTCTACATAAATTTTTGTTCATCCTCCGCTCTAACCCTAACGCTAATCCTGATTCTAACTTTAAAATAACGATAACCTTAATGTTAACATTAACTTCAGAATTTTGCCGGGATCGACGTAACCGATAACACTAACCAGGGTTGTCATTGGGCAAATTTTAATACACACAAACACGAACAAAAAATTTCAATCCAAAAAAATGTTCTTGACTCGCATAAAACATATTTTTTCTCAGCCGTTTTTTCAACGCGCGATTTCTTCGCCGCCTTTTGCTACAATATTTGGTGATTTAGTAGCAAACGGAGGCAAGTATTATTTTTTTACTGGCGATTTTATTTTTATTTTTATTTTACATAATAATAATATTAAAATTATATAATATTATTACATTAGATAATAAATTAATCAATTAATATCAATTCTATATCATATTTAAACAGAAAAATAATTTATTTTTTAATATTTATTTTTCTATAGTGAAACAAATATCAAATACCACAATCTCTTCAACAAAGACGCGTCCCCATACCTTTAATATCAATAACAGTAATACAACGCTAATTACTCGTTATTATGCTAGTGAGTCACAAAACACCGATAAACCAAAGAAAAAGGAAATTAGGGCGAGAAGAGCATTATTTTATGGTATATATTTTTTGGATATTTCTCTTTGCACCACTTTTTTATTTTTTATTTATTGTTTTATTATTTATTTCTAAAATAGTACCAGGAAGCGAAGAACGAAAGATTAGTCGGTCGAGAACAACACCAGCCGACTGTATAGTTTATGATCTAGAGGATGGTGTTGCGTTTAATAGAAAAGGAATTGCAAGGGAAATGGTATTTGATACTTTAGAGGTGTGTATAAATTAAATTAAATGAAATGAAATGAAATGAAATTATTTAATTATCTGAATTATTTAAAGGCTTCTGTACCAGAATTATCAGAAAAAGCAGTTAGAATTAATGCTGTTGGTTCAGGTACTTCTTTATTATTGATTTGATTTTGGATTATAAATCATTTATTTAATTACATTTAAAAAATTGTAGGGCTTGATTTAGATGACTTGAATGTAGTTGTAGGTTAAATAATTTATTTTCAAATTTTCTCTTTTTATTCTATTATTTTTCTCAATAATATTTGCCATTAATTTGTGATGATGATAATAATTATAATGATTATAAGCTTCGATCAAGCCGTCTACAAGCAATAGTAATTCCTAAAGTACAAACGCCCAAAGATATTCAGTTTGTGAGTCGAATGATTGATTCGGTAGCTACGGATACAACGTAAGAAATCAACTAAAGTTGAACCTCCATATAGTCACCTCCCATATAATCACAAAATCAATATAGTCACATTTTTTCAGTTCCCAACTTATTATGAAGCATAAGAAATTTGACCTCCATATAGTCACAACCTCTTTATAATCACAGTTTTTCATATCCCGAGAGTGTGATTATAGGGTGGTCAGACTGTACTATCATTTCAAAATAATGAGACATACATAATAAAATATAATTTTCTGTCATATAGGAAATCTGCTATTCGTCTGATCGCATCGATTGAAAGTGCACTAGGAATAATGAATATCAAAGAAATTGCTACGTCTGATCCTCGACTGGATGCTTTAATAGTGAGAAATTTTTTATTGTTTTAATATTGATTTAGTTAGATTGTTTTTCTTATCTTTTGGTTATAGTTTGCAGCTGAAGATTATTGTGCAGATCTAGGTGAATACTTGATGTTTCTTTTAGTTCGTTTTGGAAATTATTGATTTTTATTTTTATTGGGTGTCGTTAGGGTTAATTCGTACTTCGTCACGGAAAGAGGTTTCGTATAGTGAATAATCTATTCTTAATTATCATATCATCTTGTCTGCTAAACTTTTATTAATTTCATTCTTTTATATTGTGATGTCAGCTTGCATATGCACGTCATGTCATAGTGACGGCTGCATCTGCGTACGATTTACAAGCAATAGATCTGGTATTTTCTAATAAAATCCATTTCAATCGATCCAGTCTAATCCATTCCAATATAATCCAACTTGATATCGAATTAACTATATCTAGTTTCGTTTTTATCGAAACTAATTCTAATAAATATTGTAAATTCTTACTTGTATAACTCAGGTTTGTCTCGATTATAATGATGACACAATCTTAACGGAGGAATGTCGGGAAGGGAGAGAAATGGGGTTTGTTGGAAAGGTAAATAGATTGTTAGATTGATCATTAAATTTATAGATAATGAATATCGAACAATCGGATTTCTTAATTTTTTGGTATTTGCGTAATAATATTAGCAAGCTATTCATCCACGTCAAGTTGATATAATACAACAAACATTTTTACCGGACGATAAAGGTTTTTTCTAGTGTGTTCTGTTTTTTTGTCTTTTTTCATGACAAGATGAATTTGATTCAATTAATTAAAAATAAATAATAGATATCAGCCGGGCAGCACGAATCATTCAAGGATTCAAACATCACACCGATAAAGGAATCGGTACATTCAGTCTAGACGGGAAAATGTAATCTTATATTTTTCAATCTAGTATATTTTTCTTCTTCGTTATACTAAGATTATTTTATTTAGGATTGATCTTCCAATGCTAAAATGGGCCGAAAAAATTATTGCACGCGCTAAAGCTGGAGGAGTGACTATACCTACTCCACCACCAATTGAAAATGATGTAAAAAAATAAGAGGGATGAAATTAATAATATACTAACAACGCTAATACGAATGACAACTAGCAATTAGTTGATATCATACCATAGTCATAATGATAGTGGTAGTTTTCTCGTCTGAGAATGCAGAAGTTAAGGTGTTAGGGTGCTGACATCTCTTATGTAATATCCATTTGACACATATCTGGCAATCCCTAAAACATTACGTAATAAATATCAGTACCTTATCTGAAAATAGTTAACATTAATTACGTTTTTAATTTGGATAACAGATTGGTCTACTAATCCTTCAGTTTTTGAGACCATATTTCAAATCCACCATAATTATGATTACCATATTTGGTAAAATTTTGAATGTGTAATGATTCATTTGACATTGGAAAAGGCAATAATAATTTCTAGTTAGTGATTGGTTGGTTAAATTTAGAACAACAAAAATTATATTAGTTTCTTTAAGAGCGAGTTAGTCTATCATTTAAAGTAGTATTTATAACTACAGAAAATGTTCAATGGTTACACATATATATTGCGAATCATTTTAATATAGAGAACAAATTTTATCAAGAAATAGAAATGACACATCTAATAAAATTGGGCAAATTCTATTCCTAATAGCAAGATGAGAGAGCTTTGAAGAAAAGAATTGCACAATTACAATCATCAGGTTGGAAAACTACAGAATGAATTGCAACGATCACAAAAAATTATTTTACAACTTTATTATTCCACGCCCTTTTACTCGGCGACCAAAAAATAATCGCCACCACACCCTTTTACTCACTCGGCGACCAAAAAATAATGTTCATCGATCTCATTTTATTGATAACCCACGCCCTTTTAGAGCGAGAAAAAAAATAAAAACACGACTAGAATACTAGTCGATACATTAATGGTCGGACAACAGGATACATAATAGTGGGACCGAAAGGTCTCCTACAACAGGATAATAGTGTGACCGAAAGGTCTCCTACAACAAGATACATAATAATGGGGACCTTTCGGTCTCCCAATATAATCATGGATCAGTTTATTATAGATCCTGTTTATCATATATTCTGTCACCACAGGATACTATTACTACAGGATACTATTACTACTAGTAACTATACCATTTTCCGTTCACGTTCATCTTCCATTGCCACCTAATCTTGGCTAGTTTCGAGTTCGAGTTATGGACGATGAATTTTGCGCTGCTTTGAGCTCGAGTTGAATTCGGTGAATTCGATGATTTGATTTGCAATTTCGTCGAGAGGTCTTGAAATGTCTACTAAAGCTAAAAATAAGTAGCATTTTCTTGCATTACTAGTGATGTAGTGCGGTATATCTAAAAAAATAAATAAATAAATTGATTAAACTTTTCATAGCAATAGTTTAATATTTATTAGATTAACGAATTAAAACTTTGGAAAGAAATTCAGCGCCTGATTTCTCTTTCATGTGACCATATTAAAAAATCAAATGATCGATCAAGATAAAAATTATCTTTATCGTGTATATTTGCGTGAGAAATAGGTGTGTAGGTGAGAACATATTTAATAAGCAAACACAACAGTATTATTGTGGTAGCTATTTTGTGAAAGGGTTACTTTGTCAGTGTCTTTCGAAGACACTGGCAAGCTACTGGGAATAAATCAATTTTTATTTGGCATACTGTCAGTGCCTTTTCGTAGACTACTTCGGAACACTGACAGGACTACTGATGCCTTTCGCAGGTCACCTATTCCCGAATGGGCGATGTGTGAAGACATTGGTAGCTTAGTTAGTATACTGTCGGTGCAAAACACTGGTGCCTTTCGCAGGTCACCTATTCCCGAATGGGTGATGTGTGAAGACATCGGTAG